GTGTTTTTGTGGCATTCTTGAGCAGTAATTTGGGGTCAAGTGGAATTTTATCAATGCGGTCAACCCACTCTTTTACATCCAAAAAAAAGAGAATAATAGTAGCAGCAGCACAGTTTAGGGGCCAAATCTATGTCGTTTTGTCTTATTTTTTTAATATTCTGATCCTATCTTCATTAAAGGGCCCAAATTATTATATTTCCTGATCTATGTTATAATATTTCCTCATAAAAACATACTTGGGAGTTGTGTTTTGTTTCATTCACACATGTTTCACTCTGCATATTTAGGACATGTTCTTCTATCAAACGGAAAACACTCTGTTCCAACTTGTGATGTCATGTACAGGAAGAGCTCCACTGTGTTTTTAATCCCCATCCACCTTCACTAGAATAATTTGGATGATTTCAGGCCTGCAATTGCCAAACTCTTCTGAAAAAAAGGCAAAAGGGTGTAGCTGTTAACTTGAAAACTACCACTACATGACATCACAAAGTGGAACAGAGCATTTTGAGCTGTAGAGACGTAGACACTAATAACAGAGGATTACTCAAACACGTGTGAATGAAACAAAACACAACTCCAGGTATGTTTATGAGGTGGTAACAACATTGTAACACGACTAAAAGTTCACAAGAGTCAGTTTTAAGTAATATGGGACCTTTACTGTATCTGTTAGGGCTGATTTAGGGTAAAATTTGCATTAGTCAACTCATTATCGGAATTATTTAAGAAGAATTCATATGAGACATATGAGTCATTTTGTATATGTATAAGTTAAAATACAGGTTAAACTAATGATTCACAAATTCCATCAGTCTTTATATAAATACATAGTTTCCTGGTACTTCTTTCTTTTACAGCTTTTGCAAATCTTGTGCGGTTATTTGACACGAATCTCTTGCTATTTTCACTACTTATTTTGAATTTACTATAACCATTTATATACTATTATACTTTTGCTCTTTGTTATTTCATATATTGTGATGTGTGAGCTACTGTGTCCAAATAATTTCCCGCAAATTTGTGTCAAAGTCAAAGTCTAAGTCATGGTCTTGTGATTGGAGTTGAAGTCAGATACACAGAGATAAATATAGTTTTGAGAGCTTTTGTTGCACTCCCTTTTTAGTCAACTAACCAATCGATAGAAAGTGTCAACCATCACTCAGTAGATAACACAAGAACAGCCCCACAGCCAAAAGGTGAACATGTCAATACAGCTGTTCCTCGACACAGTTGTCTTGTTATACATCAAATTTGCCAGCCCAAGGGATAATGTAAATGAGCGATCTTCTTTAGAGCGTGTTTTTAAAAAAATCCTGAAGACATATGAGTCTCATAGCTGTCAAGTACAGGGTAACAGTTGCTATAAATAAAGACAGTCGTGTGAGGGGGAGCTGAAATGTGAAAACCAAAGCAGTCATATTGGATTTGGGGTTATCTGCCAGTGACCTGCAGGAAGTAAACAGAGTCCTCCTCTCACTGTTACACACAAACACACACTGACACAAACACACTCACGCAAACACCCGAGCAAGTGAGTGCAGGGTGTCAAACTGAACACAATACAATTTCACAGTCCATTTGAACTTCTTGGATGACTTCAACTTCTTGTATTCTTGGTTAAAAATCGACTCATTCAAGTGTTAAACAGGAGGAAGAATGGATGTATTTGTAGTAGAATAAATTGTAGTAGACCAGACCTGAATACAAAACTATCACAGTGTCTCTGGGTGCTGGGTTCTGTACCGACGTTAAATAAACTTCCCCGGTGTCACACTCTCTCCTCAACTCTTAGACTACTACAATTTATTCTACAACAGTATCTGATCTAATCTGCAAATTTTATCAACAAGCCTGAATATCTGTCATCTTTTGTACAACTAATATGGGGTTAGTGCACATCCATAATGACAATGTATGAAATATACTCTGTTTTTCCCAAAGTGTTTCCCTTTGGATTATGGTGGCCCTTTCTAAATCAAAAATAAACTGGACTAAACATTGGAATAACAAATTTGACTTTATTGCTTATTGTATTATCTATTTTAATCTTATAAAAGAGACTACACTGGTCAAAAATTACTAGTTAAAAAATGTAGGCATTAAGTAATTTTTGGTACTTTTTTATCTCTAAGCGTGTTCAATACATTGCTTCCTGTATTGTTTGTTTGTGTAAATTAAAAAAGGGGAACCAACCAATCATGGGACCAGTCAAAATGATTTCGTTGGTACATAGGCCAACATATGACATGAGTTTTAGGAAAGAATAACCACATTTCATCTTCACCACCTCTCAAGCTCCTGATTTTTGGGACTGGTGTATATTTTTTTTCTAAGTTGTGAAGTTAGGGTCCACAAAAGTAGTGATAAAGTGATAAAACATAGAAACTTTGGGATTATCACTTAGGCAGTCTGAGGGAAGTTTACAACCACACCTCGTATTAGAAATATATGAAAAAACACATTAAACAAACTATTAAACTTAAACTTAACTGTGTTATGTAAAGAGCTACGTGTGGATATGTAACGATCATAATTTAACCTCTGACTTCAGCGTGAGAGCCCAGTGCCCCCAGCTAAACCCTAACACTTGGTGAATGGTCCTTACACATTCATATCCTCTTAAGTGAACTATTATGCAACCGGTATTAACTCACAGCAATGAAATACAGTCTAATGCTGCGTCTGATCAGATACATTACTGTTACTAATTCAAGAAGACATTATTATGTAAAACTTTTAAGAGCTTTTAAACATGTTAGAGTTGGTTCTTCTTCATCTCCTCACTCTTTGTTGATTTACGTGTGTTTAGTAGTCTTTATTGTCCTCCATTCGAGGCACCATTGCTCCGAAAATTCCTGTTTACACCCTAAGTTTGTTTGTGAAACTAGTACAGGGGCAAGTGCTTTGTGCATTTGTAGATGAGAAAGATGTCTGTGCTTTTACTCTAAACTGGATTTAAACTAAAGCTATTTCCTCGAGGGCCATTCCAGATTCATAATGTGTAACACTCAAGAGTGCCACACATATCATTCTGGCTTCTTATATTTTTATATCAATACTGCAATCTAAAATTTACTTAAAATAAAATTATAATCTGTGTGTCATAGATCACCATATATCACCATGACACACATGATTTTGAATATTCCAGGAATTCAACAATGGGAGATCATTGGTTTCAACTTTGAAATGAAGCTGTGTTAACATATGAATCTTACTAATAATAATTTAACATTGACAGTACTTTTCTTTTTTGTTTTTGAAACAATGTTTGCATCACACATATGCATATGTGTGATGTGTGATATGTATACAAACATGAGCTGGTCAATGTTAGCACAATGTTCTTGGGCTTACTCGTTCACTCATTTACACTAATGATCAATTTCCTTTTCCTCCGTTCTGAACATCAAATCATGTGACTAACTGTGCTGTCTGCCAGTAACAATAAACAATCCCAAATGATTGAGCAACAATGGGACTTGAATCTGCCTAAGCATTTTATCTGCTTAGACTCTAAGCTCTGAACATACATCAGCCCATTCTCACTCAGGCACCTGCTGGAACTGGCCTGTCAGAGCTCAACAGACTGTATATAAACTCTTTGCACTCTGTGGTGCTCACGTGTGTTTGTTTTGATGTGCAGTTCATGTATGATGTTACAATATGTAGTGTTTGAATTTTGGTGCTTTCTATAACAACGATAAAAAAAATTGAATCCTGAGTTGACAAACACAGTACCCTCCTGTAGTGCTGGGTGATGTTGACAAAAATGAACTAATATCTTCTGAGATTATCTCACTCAGAGATGATGAAGATGACACTTATAACTAGGGCTGGGTATCATTCAGAAGCGGGTATGATACATATTTCGATACACAGGCTTCGATTCGATACATATCTCAATTCAGTGCACTTTCGGTTCAATATAATACATTTCTAATCAATTTGATAAATTGAAAAATCATGGCTAAATCATGGCTGTGATATTAAAAGTCTTTGTTAAACCACTTCTTGTGCCAAATTAATATGAAACATGCCTATTTTAATCATCAGAAACAGTGAATATGTCAAATCTGTTGCATAAACGAGTTTCCTTCCACTAAACAAACAACAAAACTGTAGAACTGTAACAAAATAATTTTGTAAAATAAGCCAAAACACACTCTGTGATATATTGATACAGCAGCCCATGAAATCAATACTGTATTATCACATTAAATTATATGATATATGGATATTTCAATATTTTTGCACACTCCTACATACAACTTTATTTGAGAGAATAGACTGCATTTGTTATCATCTTATCTGCAATCTGTTGTAATAGCATGAAATACTCCATATACTATTTGTTGCACATTAAATACCACTGTAAATTTAGCACCATGCAGTGATGTATCTACACGTTACTAAAGAAACTTAAAGCCTGTATCAGTGGGCGTCATTCACATCCCACCAGACCTTTAAGTCACTCCACCCTCAGAAAGGAGGATTGAACTAAACACAGGGTGGAGAGCTTTAGGACAGATTGGCATCACTCCTGGCCCGGTCCAGACCACACTGGGCCAGGGGACAGGTCCGGGGACAGGTCCGGGGACAGGTCCGGGGACAGGTCCGGGGACAGGTCCGGGGACAGGTCCGGGGACAGGTCCGGGGACAGGTCCGGGGACAGGTCCGGGGACAGCTGGGCGTAGGCTGCACGCTGCTAACCAGTTAGCGTTAGCATTTCTCCGCTAACTTATTGTACGTTAGCCCCAAATGTAATGCCATCCAGGACTTAATGCACATGTATTATTGTCATTTCGTATGTAAAAGGCCAACACAAATAGTCATACAAGTGTTTTCACCCCACGCAGAGCAATCGAGTCAAATGAATTTAATAGTGTTTGTTGTGAGAGCATCCAGCACATCCATCAGTGACATCCACCCATTACATCAGCGGCACCGAGGCGAGAGCTGCGCGTTTAGGGTTAAAATATTAAAAATAAACTCACCAACAACCTCTGCTCCACTTCTGATGTTGTGTTTTGACGTGTCTTAACTCTTGCTTCTCCAGAGAGCAGCTGCTGTGGTGACAGTGCGATCCCAGTGAAAAAGGACACTGTAAAAAAAAAAAAAAAAAAAATGTGCTGCCTTCCCTAAAGCCGAGCGGCGGCGGGGGGGAACTTCATCTCACGCAGCCGAAGAGAGCGGGGTCTGGACGGGGCACGAGAAAGACGCGATCCGTTGACTCCAACCGCTAAACGGACGGAACTGAAGAGGAGGAAAGGTGATCGGGAATGGTGACGTTCGAGCAGCCGGGGGAGATCCGATAAAGGCTTTCACGTCGCGCGTTATTTAGCCGAGAAAGAGCGGCGGGAGACGGGAGAGACGGACGGAGACAGGCGGATGTGGCTCTGGCTCTGCACGGCGCGCACGTACCACTCCACGGGGTGAGCAGGACCAGCAGTGAGAGACAGACCACACCTCCTTCTGCTGCCGTACTCTCTGCGGTGGTGAATGGAGCTGGAGGTCGGGGGACAGCGTGTCCACGGGAGAGATGCTCGTAGGAAACACGCAGGGAGGGGGCTGGCTGCACATGGTCACGTAGCAGAATGTAAACGAGCCTGGAGTACAGCTACCACTTAAAGAGATAGCTCCCCGTTTTCACTAATTCAATTTTAGTGGAGAATAAGCCCAGGAGCAAAAGAAACTGGCATCAATAATATCGGAGCATTGATTAGAAATCACTAAAGCCATTGTGTTTACTAGCTTTTGTCCAGGCCTTGACCATTTAAAACACGTCTCAGAGCTGGGATTCAGACATCATTTCAGATTTGATACACAAGATTCAACTACAGATTCAATCCTGCAGTTTTTTTTTTTTGTTTTGTTTTGTTTTTTGTTTTGCACTTTTGTGTATATCAAAACTTTACAGCCAAATTTGGAAATCAGGATCATTTTGCTCTTGATTCAGAGTTTTGTAATAATGGCCCCAGATCAGAAAGGCAGCCTAGATACACAACTTTATGGAGATTTTAGTCTGTTAAAATTAGCTATTCTTAATATACAGATGTGGGTTGTAGTAGAGGAAGTTGTTATGACTGGGAGTATGACCTGATCGCTTTCTTCTAGAAAATTCCTTTTATGCATGTGAAAAAAATGTGACTTCAAATCATTTAGAGTTTGGACAGGCTACCTCTATTAACAATCAACATTGCTCCTGTTTGCTTTTCCAAAAAACGCACAAGTGACCTTTAACCATAAGTGTATGTTGGCAATGCAAAGCAAATTTATACAAAGAAACCAGGGGCTGAAGTCTGAGTACAGTAGATTACAACATTTCCTCTGAGATTATCGCCCACTTATAGGCATTCAAAACTCTAGATCTAGAACTCTAATATTTTGAAAATGGGCTTCAGTAGGAGACAGATGAATACTTCCTTTCGTAATAAAGTGTTCTCCTGGAATCTGAAATCTGAAACATGAAAAAACAAGCTTTTGAATGTGTTTTAACCAACTAATTATTGTCTGGCATTTTAAAGAAGCCTAACTTGATCACTTATTTTAATTTTTGCGTTTATGTAACATGTAATTTCAGTTCACACCTCTGTGAGTCATGCTCGACTAGTCTGAGGTTTTTGTGTTAAAAATATAACTCTGTAGAAGACTTTCCCATTAATAGAAGAGATGATGCCTCTCATAGTCTAAAATTCTCCCCCATAGTCTAAAAATAATATGAATTAATCTTTGGTATAACAAAATCTCACTTTGTTATTCCTTGTATTGTCAAAGTAACTACACTGTTCACAAACACTGCTTAAATATGAAAAGCAGGCATTTAAAAGGTGCACTCCATAACATTTCTAGGGTCCGCCACCTGATGTCTCCATGGAAATGTTATTGCTTTGTCTAGAATGTTCCACAGTACAGATTAAACCTATTTATCACAAGGGAAACAAGCAGGTTACAGCACTACACTACATTACAGTTCAGATCTGTGGAGAGTGACTCCTAGTCACAGAAGGAATTATTGTATTTTTGATAAATAGAAACACCCTTAATTAATAAATGTATATAGGTATTTATGTTTAATATCATACCATGGAACATTCTAACAAAGCAATAACATCTCCATGGAGACAAGCGGGAAGCGGACACTCCACCAGAAAAGTTGTGGAGTGCACCTTTAAATTCCATAAATTGTATGAAAGAAAATTATTAATCTGGCATGTATTTTTGTCACCGTAGTCTGAGTGCACTTGTTAACTTGTGGAAATGCAGTTTTAAAGCTGCACTGTGGAACGTTTTTGGTGGAGCGTCCGCCATCTGCTTGTCTGTGGAGATGTTATTGCTTTTCTTGAATGTTCCATGGTATGACTTTAAACATATTGTCTAGCATTTATTCGTTACGGGTGTTCCTGTTGCTCAAAAATACAATAAGTCTTTCTGTGAATAGGGCCGACTTTCCACAGATCTGACTTGTAATGTAGCGCAGTCCTGTCTTCTCTCTCATGGAGGAGATGATTATTTATATATTGATTTGTTTGGATTGTGATTTGAATGTATTTCTTATTCTGTAAAGCACTTTTTGTGAATGAATTGTGCTACATAAATAATCTTGCCTTGCCTTGTTTAATAGGGGTGGGCATGATTAATCGATAATGATCATTAAGAATTTCATCGATTACGTTAATTTTAATCGACAAATCGAATGTAGGTTGCTGTGCGTAGCGTGACCAAACAGGGGTCCGTACATGTGTCTCTCTGCATCAGAAGGAGCGAGCAAACACAAACAGTCGGTCAGTCTGCAGCGTACCGAAGCACAAATGCATATTTAACGATGATTTGTACAAGAAATTCCACGCTTTCCGTTGCGTTAGGGACAAGTGTGAGTCCATGTGCACAGTGTACAAAGCAGGAACATATGCTTCGGTGTCCAGTGGGAAAAAGCTTTACCAGGTGAGAGTCGCGCAATGTCGATGACGAGGAACCACCTCCCACATCCCGTACGGTGGTTTTGACAAACGCAAATATGGTCACACTAACCTGTATTCCACTGAATCATGTCTTCTAATCCAACAGAAAGAGCTGTAGTTTTATCTTCGCTGAGTTTATGCAAATTAGCGATGCGGTTTTAAGTTTCGTTTCTGTGAGAGTTGCGCAAAACTGAATTAAACACATTATAATGTCAAACGGTTTGATGTGGCTCTAGAGTCGTTACGGTTTATATGTCGTAAAGTTGAATTTATTTATGCAGATTAGTTGCACAGATAGTAATAATAATGATGATCATTTTAATATAAAAACGTTAATGATTAATCGATAATCGATCGTTAATTCTTCCGACGATCAATTAAGAAAATTTCATCGAATGCCCATCCCTATTGTTTAATCTGCATTGTTTCCCAAACTTTTTTTCTGGGGACCCATATTTTAAAAGTCACAAACTTTCGTTACCCAAGACAATAGACTTTATTCGTAAATCACAAAATAAAGGTGGATTTGACCATTATTGAACATTAATGAGAATATTTTATTGTTGACTGAGTGATTGTGTCTCTGAACAATTAGTATTACTCAAATTTTAAATAATGAAAACAGTAATTGAAGCAGCAATAAAAGGATCCATAAGTCACCTATTTGGACATTAAATGCAGCCTATTTCTTTTTGTTTTCAGCATTCAATTGAACCAGCAATATTGGAACAAAATAGTCAATAAAATAATTACTAAAAGATTAGAAATTACGCAAAACATGTTTTAACATTTCAACATGTGCCAGAACTGTATACTGCAGACCTACATGCAGATGACAAGGTGACCCCCACAAAATCTCTTGCAACCCACCTGAGCGTCGTGACCCAGTCTTTGGGAAACAATGATCTATACTATGGAACATTCTAAAAAAAGCAATAACATTTTGATGGAGACAAACAGATGACAGGTCCTCCACTAAAAATGTTACACAGTGCACCTTTAAAAGATATATTTTGCACAACAGGGGGACATTTATCACCAGTTGAGGTATGGTGTTGATAGATACATGACTCATCCAGATCAGCCCATACTTTCTAGATAGGTGTCATTGTCGTGTCTATACTGCACCAGAACACTTATTACAGAGATACTACTGAGAGCGCTTCCTGTGACACATTTTTTGTAAATTGTCCAGTTTTCTCACACACCATCTCCCACGTTTAAAGAGGAGTGCACTTCCTCCTCCCAAATATGAATACCGTACCCAGGAAGCCACACTTTGGCCACCCAGCCTGCAGGGACTTCATTTCCTTTGAAAGCAGTGGAGGAGCACAGCCATGCCCTGATGCACTATGAGAGCATGTCAATGAGGTGCAAATGACAGGGCTGCATTGTGAGATGGGCACCGAGCGGGAGTGCCATGTGACGGTCCTGAATGGGCTGCCGGGGGTGGGCAGGGGGCAGGATGGCAGTGTCCACAATGGGCCATTGAAGGGCTGCAGACGAGGTACAAGACTGGCACTGGTCTTCCTTCCCTTCCAGGACAGCAGGAGGAAACTGCTGCTTGGTACTGACTCAATGCAGGGATTATTGTGAAGAATTGGAGCAAGGAGTTTTATTATCACAATGTTATACTTCCTTAGTCTATTCATGACTGTCTTATACTCGTGCATAATGGCCTTCCTGTTTAATTAACTGGAGAAGAATTCGGTGCTTGGGGAAAAGATAGTTTAATTAAAGTGAGAGATATATGGTAGAGAAATTAAACACGTCTCATTAGTAAGAGCAACCACGCTAAGAACCTTCTGAATATAGACAAAACAAAGGGTTTATACTTTTACATCTACAACATCCAGAACAATAACTACATGAATTATCCACATTGTTGCTTCTAAAATATAACATTTCATATTTAAGTTATTCATACAAATTCAGTATCTATTAATCAAGCAATGAAAATTATCTAATGAAACTATTTATTTTAATTTCTTTCAGATGTCCATTGCCAATACTGTGTGTAGAAACATAATTTAAAATAACATATTATTCACTAATTATAATAATGATGTATAAATAGTTGTACACTTTTGCTGCCCTCTAGTGGTGGAAAATAGTAAGCAAACGGGTTGTTGTACATGTTTACACCACCATGTACTGCTGACATGGAATATACGAGTCATCCTTTTTTTAACACAGCCTCAAAACAAACCTGTCACTTTCCCTGATGTATTTTCTGCGTAATGTATATTAACTATACAACATCCTGCTCCAAAACAACACAGTAGAATAGGAAAAGTTCTATCTAAAAAAGAATGAGATTTATTTTATTATTTTTTTTACATTACGTTACATTTTTAATAGGTGCTTAAATAACAGCTCATTAACACTAGTTTACTGTGTTTCTCCCAGTAATAAGGAGGCTGTTGTGTCTCCCTATATTCTACACATCTTAGAAATAAATTTGGCGAGTTCGCAACCTGTTTGTCTCCCTGGAAATGTGAATACTTTGGTGTTGAATGTGAACGCTATAGGTGTTATTTAATGCTTAAAAATATCTTTAAAAAAACATTAATTCTTACTTTGCGTGGGGTCGCCTCTCCACAAATCTAACCTGTAATTTGGCTTGCAA